TTTTAGATCACCCATGGATCAAGCAGACCGACGAAGAGACCCATGCTGCTGCTGACGCACCACCGCTGGCTACTCCTCTCTCCAACCGCCAGAAGGAGACCATCCTGGATCCCAAGGGTGCAGACCTTGCACCCTACCAGCCCTCACCAGTCGACCAACCCTCTGCGCAAAGCGAACGGCGGGTGGATTTCCGGTCGCCCGGGGCGGTCAACCTTCGGGAGGTTTTCGACGTGGGCTACGCCGTGCACCGGAAGGAAGAAGAGGGGAAGCGACGTAAGAATTTCCGCCAGGGATTCACGTCGAACCTCAATCCTCTCAACGAAGATTACGATGATGAGGATGAGATTATCTACTACGGACCGGAATCCGGTGCGGACTCCGGTGGTGACGATCCACCGGCGAAGATTCCCAGGCCGCCCGAGCCCGCCAACGACGTGTCCGCCATGGAAGCGAAGTTGCGCTCGACCAACCTGGGGACGCAGCCCAGCAGTGCGGCCCAAGCGAGACAAGCCGCAGCTGGTCGACATCAGCAAGGCTATGGCCAGCACAGTGCTGCAGTCGCGACGGCAGCAAAACAAAATGCAGCGCGGAATGCGAAGCAACCTTTCGAACTCAGCTTGGACAACGCAACATTACTGGAGAGACGAAACAGAAGACAGGCGGGGCAACAACAACAACAACAACAACAAGTGGCATGACGGGCTAACGTTGAGTAGCTTTTGCTCTTCGTTCTGTTCTGGATCATGTATTATTTCTTGTCTTGACATGAGTCTTATGGCAAGTTGGGTTTAGTAGATATTGCAGACTTGTTTCTGATTCTTGAAAGCATGGGGTCATTCCTAGCGACGAGTCATGTTATCCACACAAATTTTCATTAATGTTGATGTTATGCATGTTATGCATGTTTCCATAGGAAACGATTTCTTCCATTTGCTCTGATTCTCTGTTTTGCTCTGTATGCATTCCATTACCTGCAAAGCGCCGTCGGCTAGGTATAGGTTTCTCAAGAGCTGACACTGTCTTGAGGGGTTTTGCGACATGCAATAATAATGGTAACGACACCACAGATAGATACCCTCGGTGACTGTCCTCGAATGGATAGAGGATCTGTATCTACGTATGTAATGTACATCAATACTTAAAAAAACCTACCGAAAACATAATCCCCTTTCTTCGTCATTTCTGCTACATACGACCATAGGGTGTGGAAAACAGGGCTTCCCGTCCGCTCAGCCGTACTTAAGCCACACGCCGGCTGGTTAGTAGTTGGGTGGGTGACCACCAGCGAATCCCAGCTGTTATATGTTTTTACTATTTTTACCTACACACATCTCTCTCTTTTTTTTTAAAAAAAAATTAGACTTGCTAGTTGTTGATTGATCGCGTTAGCGCTCTTCTTGCCGGCCCTATAAGCTTAGCCCGAACCTCCCAGAAGAACACCTTTTGTATTTATCTAGATAAGTCTTCTTGTATGCTTCCTGCAAGCAATGATCTAAATAGATGATGCGTTCTTTCTTTTTCCTTTTTTTTGTTTTTGGCTATACTTGCTCTTAATGATTATATTGTACGTATATACTGATAGATAAGCAAAAGGTACCTGGTTCTATAGTATCTTTTCCTCTTCTCGGACTTCTACTTCACGCCCGGCCCTTCTCTTCGTCCGCAGTAGCGACAGTCGCTGTAGCTGCTGCCGCCTCCTGATCCTCATCGGCCTGCTTGCGCGGCTCCAACCCAAACTCCGTGTCGATGTCGGTGCGCAGGTCGACATGCCGCATCCCAAAGCAGGCCACCATTCCCAGCAGCGCAAACGCCATGGCCACGAACCACACCACCCGCAATGCAAGCCGGTAGACCTGGATCACCTGGTCGTGGATCGCCGCCGGCAGATCGGAGGTGACGGAGCTGGCGGCCGCTCCGTAGGCGTTGCCGTTCACCAGGCTCGCGCGTACCCGGGGTTCCGTGATGATGGACGCGTGGGCGTTGAATTGCGCATTGAAGACGATCGCCGATGCCGTCACGCCCCAGATGAAGCCGAACGAGCGTAGAAAGGCATACGTGCCGGTCGCGCGAGCCGTGTCGGCCACGGGCAGCGCCGCCTGGATCGCCGGCAGGATGGTGGTGGCCAGACAGCCTTGCCCGATGGCGGCGATTATCTGGAAGACCACCCACAGCGCCCGGCTGGCACTGGAAGGTGAAGCGATCTACTGTGCATCGTCTCCGGAGGATGCGATGGAAGATTCCGACGTCGAGAAGGCGCGAGGGAGTCGCGTCTGGTCGATCGCTCCTTCCTCTTCCGGAGGATAGGGCGGAGAGCTTGTGGGCCAATAGGATTATCACCGAAGCGAACTCTTCCATTCTATCGTTAAGGGCTTGTATATATCTTTAAAAAAAAAAGATTGTCACCACATTGGGTAATACGACAAGCGGAGCAAGTCCCATAATAAAAAAATAAACAGGGCTAGTTTTCACAATATCATCCTCTTTGACGGTTTCTATTTTTGAAACGATTATTAATTGTACTTGTTTATGAAAAGGGTCGATGGATGAAAGATCTCTGAGTCCAAGAAATCAGTCCACTTGCCTATTATGGATGTATGGCCTACCATGTCATTAATTACCCAAGAAGGGAATCTTGACTATTACAGAGTGCACCATTTAAACCTATAGCCTATGTACTGTGCCTAGGTACTTATTAGTTAGCCCTACGGTGGTATTTGCCAGACACTGCCAAAAAGAGCGCCAAATCCAATAATGTAGCGACTAAAAGGAGATACCTTGTCTATCGTGCGAAGCTTGATGGAAGAACCATAAAGGATACTCCAACTACTTGCATGATATGGATGATCCTTACACGCGATGACTATGGATCAACCATGTGATCCGACAATGGACCATCCATACTCCTACATCCGTCAAGGTACGACCTTGTACCGCGACAAATAATGTCACATCTCTTTAGGTCATGTACTGTACCTTTGTTTTTTATTTTTTTTTTAGCCTGACAAGTGGGATGCCCATATTCTGCTGGTAGTCCCGAGACCGTTATCAGCTACTGACTCGCCTATCTGACTCTGATCCGTACTAATGACTACTTTAGAAAGTTCTTCGTCAAAAATACCACCTAAGCAATGGTTTTATTCTCTGTATGAAAAATAATCTCTATCTAATCCTCTAGAATAGGCAATAAGCAAACAATCTTGAGATTCTACTTAGCCTAGGCTTGAGATTTATTTAGACATGAGACCGATATGACTCTATGCCCGTTCCACAATCATTACTGTCCTGCTAACAATGATGATGATATCCCAATGATGGGATGTGAAGGAGTCAAATCTAATTAATCAGGTCGACAAAAATGTCCTTCATATATTTCATTTTTTTTGATTAAATGTCATGATGTATGATACTTGTGTATACCTACAATAAGTATGGACGTACGTAAGTGGTTTATTATGGTCTATACTTCCATCTCCAAATTTCGTCAACGAATCAGCTAACAATCTTCGGCTTGCGCAATGCGGATATGAGTCCAATTCTTTTATTTCTGCTTCTGTGGAATCGTTGCTGGATTGGTTAGGACGATTTCCCTGCTCAACTGCGCAAGTCTCGTCGTATGTTTTCCAGCCTTGACTGCCTTCGTTTCTTCTTTGGCATTGTCTTTCAATCCCTACGAGTACGTCAGCGGTTCATTACTCCCAGCTTATATAAAAGGTTAGATGAATTGTCTAGGGAATCGTACTGCCAACGCCGCACTCCACAACAGGTTCAGCATCGTCGCGATGCCAATCACCAGCAGGATGATCTGCCCCGTAGACCGGAGATCATAGACGCTCGAGATCGAGTTCCACGCGATGGTCAATTCGATGTCGACGATTGCAAGCGCGAAAACGACCGTGTCGGCCGCCGCAAGCACTCGTCTGAAGGTTCGCACGCGGGATTCGTTCCTCGATTGACTGCCATGGTCAGCAACGGTTCGACATGGCTGCCAATGGATGGATAAGGACATATTCCCTCCGCGCGTGCTTGGCGGTGTCCGGACCCGCGATCTCCAGAACCCACGGGATCACGAACCTCCGGTAGAAGCGGACGACGCTGCGCAGCGTCTTCTTCCGGCACAGGATATACACCGTTGTCGCAGGGGCGACGACCAGCAGCAGAACCACCAGCGCCAAGGTGCACCAGACAGAGAAATACAGCAACAGACAGGACATAACCCGGAATACTGTCCGCACCGCGTGTCCGTCCACGTCCAGCTTCGCGAAGACGAACGTGACGGTGGTGCCGCAGGGTGAGGACGCAAAGCCGTCGATGCCGCGAAACCAGAACCACACGTTGACGACTGCCATGCAGTTGGTCAGGACGGCCTTGATCAACTCCCCGAGGGCCGAGCTCTGGCGGAAATCGCTCCGGCTGGGGACGAAACGGCGTCCCATCCAGGACAGGGGGTACAGCGCGTAGATGGACACGGCGTAGATGTCCAGCACGATCACCATGTCTGCGGCGGGCGTGTCAGCGGCCGCACCGCACAGGGCGAACGTGACGACGGAGAAGGCGATCACAAACACTGTGTTGGCGGTGGTTGTTTCCAGCATCTGGTCGGGGACAAACGCCGTGGCAATCACCGTCGCGATCCATTGCAGATAGAGGCCGATGCGGATGCCGAGGCCGTAGATGTCCGAGTTGCCTTGCCGCGTGCATTGCGAGACGGCCATTTCGTGTATCGATGTCCGAGTATGCAGGGTGGTTGCTGCTGCTGCTGCTGTTGTCCCCGGTTTGGGGGTCAACGTCGACACGCAAATTGCGCCGACGATGATGATGTCGCAAGCGACTTTAGGCATCCTCCGTGGAGTACAGTACACAGTCCCAGAAGAGATATCTCGTGTGAGGCCAAAACCTTTGGCAAAGCTGTCGGGCATTGATTGGGCTGCAAGACAAGGAGCCTTGGTCGCATGGAATCCACAAAACCTTTATAGATCAATATCTGCACCAGTTCCTCCTTTCTTGCGTTATGGCAGATACTAGCCGGATATTGGAATGACAAGATTTAACTTTATTCACTTTATATTACTTTCTCCATTTCAAATATATTCTCCCAAAAGAGATATAAATGACATCTTCTCTGTATACCTTGGAGTACATCCTGAACTATGATTGTAACTTAGGTTAAAAGACGAGATATAACTATACGAGATCTTACCTTGATTTGTATTCTATAAACAATCTGCCACCCAGCGTTATTCAATCAAGGCTACAATTATCTAATTCTGGGTACTCTAGACTCCCCCCTGTGACTCTCGGAGGCTTGTTCGTTTTTCTGCATTGATTTAACTGATGCAATAGCTATTTTCTCGTTTGGATATCTTGTCCCTAGCGTATCATGGGTTCGAAACCCTCTGCTTTGCAAGGTGTATACTAATAGTCTGCCTGCTAGATCTGGTATGAAATACGAACGAACGAACGAACCACTCGGCTCAATCTCTTAGGCTAGGATAGTGGAAAAACTCGTAAATTGGGAAATTTCCTCAAAAAATGAACGAACGATATCTAAGGATGAGAGATATAAGTCTGAGTGATGCTCTGATGCAGTTCCATGCAGTGCAGTTCACTTGGTCGACTCAGGTTTCCGACCGTACACAACATAACTGGCCGGTGGTTAGTCAGCTCTCAAGCAAGGAGACGCTGATCAGAGGAAGCAACTTACAAGTCATACAGTGCATGGACCTTAGGATTTTTGATATCATTCAGAGCTTTTGCTGCAAAAACCTCGACTTCCTCGGGTTTCCATGACTCAAATCTTGTAAACACGGCCAGAGCACCCGCCTTAAAGCCTGTCTCAGCCTGAAGGAGATTCCATGTCCCAAGTTTTTTCTGCAACCTGAAGTTAGCAATAGTCATGTATATAGAAAACTGGCTTCACATACGTAATACGGGTCTTTGGGCCAGGCTCCCTGTGGCACATAATACTTCTTCACATGGACATCCACAAACCCTGCTTCACGGAACCATTCTTCAAGGTGTGGACCAGGTCTTGTGGGATACCCTGCTTTTTCAAAAGCATTGATAAAATCTGCAATAAACCTCTCAAGGTCTGTGCCCTTCAGAGATCCGTCCTCGGACCTCACCTGTGTATCCCAGTCCTGAAATTCTACCCAGCCACCAGGCTTTGTGCAGCTGATAATCAGGTCAGTATAGCCCTCATCCAAAACTAAATAAATAGATAGGGACAGCCTTACTCGTAACACTGCTTCAACAACTTTTTGAAATCCTTGATAGAGTAGGCTAGATAACGAGCATGGATAAAGTCAAATGAATTTTTCTCATATGTCCATTCAGACTCAATGTCGTCGACGAGGAATTTCAAATTTGGTGGAACCCTATACTCGATTAACAGTAATATCCATTATGCAGAGGGGAGTTGCTTACTGACAGGTTTGGTTGAGTAGGACTCAGATCATTACCAATGACCTCAGCAGAAGGGTATTCATCAGCTGCAAGACAGACATGAGTTTCCAGAAAATAATATGCATCTCATCAAAATACTCCGTAGCTTACCAAAATCAATCGCCCATATCCCAGTCCCGGTAGCAATGTCAAGGACTTTCTGTGGCGATGGTCCAATAGGTGCAAGGAATAGTTTCCTCTCCATCATTTCAAGTGTCATCTCATGCATTATATCTAAGCGATCCGCCTCGGTCTCATCATTGGGGAGAAGATAGCCTTACAGTTTGTTAGTCAGATAGTATTCTTTTATAGTCTTTGAAGAATAGAACACTTACTGCCATCGCGATAAGCATGGTAGCGCCTGCCATTCTCATGGCGGTAATTCAGCACTGAAGAGGTTAAAGAGGCGCTGTAGGTTGAGCTGGTTATATCTAATTAGTTGCATGACTACAATAATAAGGGGCAAAGTCTGTCGCTTGCTCACAGCTCGGTTCCATAAGAAGAATCATTATCAGTAGCCTAAGATCCCATTAGAAACCCCTATTGTTGTGGAATACATTATTAGACTTTTTCACAAACCTGAAGATCTACTTCGACTTCAGCCTCAACCTGATGGTTGTCTTGTGTAGTGGGCTCATTCTGTTCATTCTGTGCTGCAGGCTCGTTGTTTGCTGTAGATTCCGCCATTATTGTGTTGGTAATTAAGAAGAAAAACTTTTTGACAGAGCAGAGAGCAGAGTCAGGAGGGCAATGGAATCCAATTAGATAAATGCACACGGTGCAATTGTGGGATCTCAAGAGGGCGCAGTAGTTGCAATAATCCTCCTCTTTATGAGGAAAGCGCCAGCCCTCAAGTCTTATTATAGGTGGGCACCAAGCAGCGTCCTGTCGATGAGCTGTCCAAGCAGCAACGGCCCGTGTGATAGATGCAGTCTAGCTGCATTAGTGTGAAGAAATAAGGGCAGGGATGTTGACCACGGAGTATGCACAGAACTGAAAATGGAAACAGGCTTCAAAACGGGCATAATTCCAGCTGGTCAAGGAACGTCTGACCGTTACTGACGTCGCAAAGACCAATCACGAAGGCACAAATGAGTCAGGGAATGACCTTTTTGGCGGCTTCTCCGAGTCAGCTGTCAGCAGGAAGAGAGTACTCCACACAGAGGAAGTACTAGTACTAAGCTAAGCGTTGTTGTCATGGCACTAGTTTTAATCGAGACGTTGAGTGGAAAATTCCCCGACGATCCAACGACTATGTACGTAGTCTGGTGAATATGGAGAATAGCGGATAATAATGTCATTACTTACAAGGTTCCCCAGAGCAACTCGGAATTCCGCTAACAAAACCTCGTCGTATCTGACAGATGCGGACATGTGTATCAGCAACTAAAAGTCTACTTGAATTAACCTTTATTCAAGGATCCTGGTTCTTGCTGCCAATAGAATTGTCCAATTGGTCTAGTTAGCTGTAGCGACCTGAAGATGCTTGACGGAGATCAATCAAGAAAGCCCTTGTGTACTGTATGTACAGTACATACAGTACATGTATGGATGATCCTTACTCCGTACACGTGATTGCCATACCTGAAGGATTATCCATGTGACCATACGGTCCGAGTATGGACCATCCACCACAACATTAGCATTATATTAAAAAAAAAAGAATGCGTATGGTTATCCAAGAGAGATATTGCACTTCCAACAAACTAGGAAAGGAACATGTGCAGTCTACTATAAGAATAGGGACTCAACACATAAATATTTTTTTCCCCTCTTGCTCACTAGGCAGACCCATAAAGCATGGGGTGGGTTACTGTATTTTAGCTCCTATTCTTTAGCTCAGCTGGATATAATATCTAGTTTGAAAATAAAGAAATTTTTTCTATAACAGTACATACAATTATCAATATCTGTCAGAGAGGTGAGCCGCCGGGCTATAGGCTTACCCCACTGCGTCGTAAAGGCCACAAGATAACGGCCGCTAGGCCGGGCCGCATCCGCCCGGCACCCGCCTATATAGTGGTGTTCCAGTAGGGCCCCGCATGACAATATCACAGCTCATATAAATAATGAGAACTGATTACTGAGTCTATTTGGTAGCTCTAAACTAAAATTAAAGAAGAGCAAAGGAAAGAAAAAACTATTAATAGTAATGAGGGGTCGCGTAGATATCTATTATTCAAGAGATTTATTCTGTCAGCATAATAATAAACCCTCACACTGGGTACTTACTTTGGCAAAACCGTACTAATTATTACTCTCAAGTCTAATATCACCTTCCTAACCTGTCACCAGATAAGGTATGTTAAACACCGTCACAGACTATTCTTTTTTCTGCCCAAACAAGTCAAATTCAATATCCATAGAAACTAACTGATTGCATGCAGGTCTAAGAGAGGAAGAAGAGTAGAGAAAACCTAGCTTTTTATTTTTGCTCTGTGACAATTATCTTCTTACACTTTAATTATCTTCACATTTTCAGCTCATAAGACTTTTTCCTAATAATTATATTGCGGAAATGTAACTTCTATTACGTCGCTGACAGGGGCATTGATTACATTCAGTTGAAGAATGGCTGCCTGATGAGTGCCCAGAGAGTGCCTTAATAAGACAACAAAGGGCTAATTAACACCAGTGTGAGCAGAACTGGTGAAGACCACTATACTTAGGCTGTTTCATTTCTTTTTTTTATCCCCTAAAGAAAAGGATGAAAAGGATTCTCTGTTCAATTAACAGTATTTACAACGTTTTATTTAAACATGGACGGGAGGGAGAAACCAGGAACAAAAACGATGTTATCAGAGAGCCTCCTACACTATCACTACTACCGCCAGTCGTTGCAAGGTCTTAGCTTGCGATAAGACAGATGTAGAGAACGCCGCCGCCGCTGGTATCAACTTTGTACATTTGTAAATCGGTACATTTGTAAATTCATGTGTGTGTACGTGTGTGTATGCAAGTACTTTACAGAGTCTGCTTCCCACGAGTCTCGATCGGCAGCAGAACCATGGCGACAAACGCGGCGAGGAAGAGACCGCCGGCAGCGTAGACGGGCGCGTTGGGGTTGGCGTTGCTGCCGTAGATGGCGACGATGGGGGCCATCAGGCCGCAGATGCGGTTGAAGAAGGAGGCGATGCCGGTGCCGGTGCCGCGGTTGGGCGCGGGGAACACCTCGGGCGTGTACGCGTAGAGCACGCCGTACATGATGTTCTGGAAGAAGGCCTCGAGCGACGAACACACCAGCTGCGCGTTGGGGTCCGTCGATATCGTGAAGCAGAACAGGATGATGCCCGAGATCAGTGTCGAGAGCGCCATCGTGCCCTTGCGTCCGATGTACTTCATGTCCACCGTGTAGCACGCGATGATCGACCCTGGAACTCCCACAATCGACGTGATCGCGTAGTTGCGGTACGTGATGTTCACCGGCGTCGCGCCACCGGAAGCACCCGCGTGGGCGAGGTACTGCGGCAGGAAGGCGTTGAAGAGAGGGTAACCCATGCCAATGGTCGCCCAACAGAACCAGAGAAGGACCGCTAGAAGAAGATTAATGAAACAGGCCAGAAAAAAAAGGAGGAGATGACTACGTACTGGTGAATCCAAGTCTCTTGGTACCGAAAAGCGGTCCAATTCGCTGACCGGAGAATTTCGACAACGCTCTCTTGATGATTTCCACATTGCTCAGCTTTTGCTCGGGGATTTCGTCAGGACGGCCGCCGATCTCATTGAGGATGTCGACCGTGAGCCAGGTTTTGGTCCTGTTCTTGAACGCAATGGCATGCACCGTCCGAACGGCATCTTCCTGGCGACCCCGCGAGAGCAGGTACTTGGGAGACTCGTACAGGTGGAACAGGAAGAACCGGCAGCTGAACATCACCAGGGTGAGTGCGCCCAGGGTGAAGGTGAGGTAGCGCCAGCCCATGTTGTCTTGCTTGCGGCAGCAGGGAACGCCCGACGCGACGTCGAGGCAGGACGGCAAGTTGGAGTCGCAGGTGAAGTTGGGGATGTAAGCCCATGCGAAGAGACTGTATGCGTGTCAGCACTGGATACGTCCTGGCTACGCACAAAGGGAACTGACCTGCCGATAAGTTGGCCCACTGGCCACCACACGCTGAGCATTGTCAGGAGGTTTCCGGACGCGAACGGGAGGAACTCCAGGAAGAGTGCTCCATCAACCGGGAGGTTACCACCGACACCAAGGCCCATGGCAGCGAACATGCCACATACGCTGCGATCGAGGTTAAAAATTACTCTTTTTATCGACAGGATACCTCATACCCAATCCAGGTTGGGCTACCACCCACAGCCGTTCCGAAGACACCGCAGATGAAGAGCGTCATGTTGAAAGCCAAACGACGACCGATCAAGTCGGACGCCACTCCCCAGAAGCAGGCGCCAATGCACAGACCGAGGAAAAGCGCACAGGTTGTGAAACGTACGTGCAAGGCAGAGACGCCAAACTCCAGAGAGAGCTGGGGCAACGTTAGGGCAACTCCCTGCACGTGACGAGTCAGATCAATAGCTCTATTCAGTTTCCCAGCCCCGATTTCCCCATAGATGACAACGAAGGGCAGCCATTAGTATTTACCTGCAGCCAGAGACTGGAAAGATCCGGGTCAGTCAGTGGCAGACGTCGACAGACAGGACAAGGGAAAGCGGACTCACTTGTCTGCCAGCCAGCCGAATCCGCAGAGAATAAAGAGCTCCCATTGATAGCGGCCCATGCCGATATCTTGGATAGCTAGGTTAATGACCTTGGCTTTCCCTGTGATCAAACCATCAGACCTGTTTTCTATAACATCTACACCAGAAGGGGGGAGGGGAGAATCAAGCGCATAGGGCAAAGGGCAAGGAACAACGGCGCACGGGCATAAAATCATCAGGGGAAGAAACGCGCAAGGGATTTACGACGCGGCGCAGGAAAGCAACGTACGATCATAGGCTGTGTCGTGACCGGAAGCGGCAACTTCTCTCTCGACCTCGGCGCGGATAGTCTCAATGGTCATCTCACTGTACTCAGGGTTGGATGCCGCGCCATTCTCTTCGGAGCCGACTCTGTCCAGTTTCTTATCATCATTGGCAGCAGTGTTTTGGTTGGCACCAGGGTGCGACTGGGAGTGACGACGGGCTTCGGACAGGGGGACCACGACACCGAGGAATTCCTCCTTGTCGTGGGGCTTAAATGGGTTCGTCCAGAAAGGCATGATGGATGGGGCAAGCTGCTGTCGGCCTTCTTCTATCGATTCCCTGGGCTAGAGAGTGTCGCGATCGGCTGGAAACGAAACAAGATCCGCTGTCTGGGTCCAGGGCAACTGGGCTGCAGGCCTCGCGTTGGGGCTAGGTCTACAGGGTCGCAATCCGAATCAAAGTCGTATGGGATTCCGGGCCGTGTGGGCAGACGTAGAGAGATGGGTCGCGTCGATCAGGGCCTGACAATCGGAATGATGGTGTCGCGTTGAGGCAATACAGCCAGGTTGAACGGGCTCTTCTCTTCCTTTTTTTCTCTTCACACTCTTCTTTTTCGCAATATGCTATTGCTATTTTGCCACAATCG